ACGTTCGGTTGCGCACACTATTGTGTTGTTCTTTATACATATTACCAGATTAGTCCCCCGTCAACCGCCGGGACCTTCCTTTCCTGCGCAAGCTTTCTATCCTCCGCTATGGTCCCTTCCTCCTGTGACACCAACACCTCCTGGAAGTGACGCGTATGCAACACAATGGTGTTTCATACAGTAGAAGGGACACAATCATGATATGACGGTAGATTCTTCGCTTCCCCTCCTCATCCTCCCTTCCTCTCGTCACTGCCCTCCAGCTGCCACTGCAGCACCATGTGGAATGAACGGAAGTGTGCTAAGCAGGTGTTTATATAGCCCTAAGAGTGTTATCACAACTATCCTGCTACAAAACATTGATATCTCAAATCCTGTAAGCTACCCGATTTGTTAGCGGTTTGTTTATCCCATGAGCTTCCTTCTCACTCACTTCATTTTGCGGACGGACACACATACACATACATACATACATACACACACACATACAGATACACAAACCGACACACAAAGTTAGCGCTTTATATAGAAGGAAGGATGGTATTCTTTGTGCTCGGAAGAAATTACGATGCACAATTGTAAGTTTGTAACGTAACATAATGCTGAATAAATCTATTTTACTTTCTTTCCCCTTGCGATCTGCAGTGTGCCCACTACATTCACACCCGAGCTTTTATCAGGACAATCTTTGTCCAGCCCAAAATCGGGCAAATCAGCTTCGCATCAGTTTGCACGAAATTCAATCCGTGAGCCGTCACATCGAATTGCTAGTTCAGTGGCCTTGTACAGTAAAGCTTATTTCAGCTTTTTCGAAATTCCACCTTGATTAGCGTTTGATATGAAGCAACAAGCCAAATCGATTGGTGAGGTGTTCATAATGATGGCGAGGAAAGGGTGCGTATTTTGAGCACATTCGCATCATAGTGTGAAAGATGCTATGCGTCTTTACTATCTACTATCTATGGGCCGTCTTATCTGTTACGTTTGATCCACGCTGAATGCTAGAGGGTGGAGGTCCTGTCCGGTCCGTTCACTTGGCCACTATCAGATCAAATTTAAGGCGCTGGCGCTACTGTCGCGCACTTTCGCGTTAATGGCACAAGTAATGATAGTCGCAAGCTACCTATTTAACTTACAGAATAGATTCTTCGACACGACATAATCTGGGGCTGTTTTAAGTTCTGATCACTGCATAAATGATAATCAACGGGGAGGAAGGCGTCACGGTCACTTAGGTTCAATTTGTCGCCGAACTGGGAAGTTAGATTCGAATTACCTTGACACTTCTGCTAGTTTTTTCGATGGTCCTTGCGATTATTTTTGCGATTGTTCTCCTGAAGATGATCTGATCACTCATGGAAAATATTGAAAATTTGTGATGGGACGAATTTGGGTGTCGCTTACGTCCCCGGCGAGAAGCACTCCACATATTTTAATGACTTTTTCCTATGCCAAGAGAGGTGTCCTCAATGGGGCTTATAATCTCGTTTCCAGAGCAAACTACAACTAAAGTCTTCTATCCTGATGCTGTCTAATCTTTGGCCACTTCTACAATCTTCCTCCATTAGCGGTAGATACGCTTTTGGCATTTTCAGAGCTACCCTTCGGCTCCCGTAAACGATCAACCTCTACAAGGGAGAATATTATGCATACTTCGCCCGAAATTCGGAGAACATCATGGCGGAGCAACCTTCCGTCACAGCTGATATCAGAAAGCATTCAGCCGGCGGCGCTCGGAGCTAGAATCATATTTGTTCCGAATCGATTGAACCATTCACCAAATAATTATAGTGAAACAAAGGAACATATCATTATCTGTAGAAGGCAATGGAGGATCTGATGACTCAGTCAACCAGCTTTGACCACTGCTGATGACTCTGCGTTTCGAGGAGTTCTTGTCACCATATATGCCCCACCATGTAAATGAACAGGCCGATCTGATCACCTCCACTGTTTGAACTAAAACTTGAAAGTGAGTCTACTGGTGTGCTGATCAGAGGATTTGCCTCTGGAAGTGAGTAATCAACTGTAGAGATTGACCAACGCAATAGAATATCCGGGATTTGGTCTCCCAACCAAACCCGACGTAGCGGCCTCTCCTTCCACTACAGCACCTACATATGTCCAAGCGAAATTCAGAACTCAGAGTCGAAGATTTTGTCAAAATGGTACTCTACAACGAGCAGTGGTAGTAATCGGTCTGGACCTGAATCAGAGCTCGGGAAAAGGTGCTCCATAGCCAAGAGGAAGAAGCGAGGCGTAACGGTCCAAACCTGTGCGTCGACTATTGAAGGTTCTTAACTCCTGGTTGTTGGCATTCTCAGACCGTGCGCCAACTATGGCCAGTCTTACATGCAATCATGCAGACCGCCCGACCGACTCGCCTTCGCCTGTCACGTCAGCCGGCACGACAGTCTGCCCATCCGCTCGTATATTCATCATCTAAATAAGCATACGGTTCGTGGACCTTCATCCGGTGATAACTTACTTGGGGCGAGGGAAACGCAGCGGTGCAGAGCTCTATTCGTGGGCACCTCTGGGGCCATTACTATTTTGCCGCACCGTGATTTCTAGGCAACTTGACGAGTTTTTTTTTATCATAGCCGCATCATTTGTTCAGTCAAGCTATTCTGCTTCATAACTCGGTTCAGGAAATCGTTCAGCGATTTGGAGGATAGTTCGATATTGGCGTTCAAAGGCTTATTAAGCGGTATACACTCTTCTTGAGGCCACAGCGACCTGGGATCCATTCATTAAAAATAAGGAGCCTAATGTCGAGGCTCGCAATAGCTGATCTCTCACTGTAGAAGTCCTGTTCAATCGGAAAATATGTATGTGGCCCGACACAGCGGGAGCGTTTTTGACGAGAGGGTGCGTTTGACAGAAGACATTATGGGATTTAGGATTTATTTCAACATTCATAGTTGTTATACAATTTATACAAATAAAGAAGACTCGTCGTTTAATAGCTTTAATGCGCGAAAAAAGCAAATTAGTGCGCTTAAATGTTTCTTAGTTACTAGTACGTAGTCGCGTAGAATACAGATTAATTTCGATTTTTTTCCTGTTTGATCCCTTCAGAATCCTTTGGTGGCTTTAGCGTAATCTTTCGCAAACGCCTCCAGATGCGGTGTTACGCTGTCATCCAGATATTTGGCGTGTTTCAGGTACAACAATAAAACTTGATGAATATATAGGTATTGATGTTCTGTCTGAAAACAGTAAAGTAACATGATTACAGATCAATTTCAGTTATAGTTCAACTCCAAGCTGCCCACATTTTGCCGCTCGTGCCATGCAGTAACGGCGAGCGGCTTCCTTCCCATGGCGCAGTTACCAACTAAGACGTCCCCAAATTGACCAAGTCCACTAAGCGCTAAGAAAAAACACGTCCCTCTTCCCCGGGTATTTCTCGGAATGAGACAAACCTGTATGCTATTATTTCTTTGTTTACGTAACTCCAACAAATACGTGGAGATCTCCAATAAAGGTTGATTCCGCTGCAGAAGTTCCAAGGCGTGTTGAATGAGCACTATTGAGCCGGTTCTGCCAATGCCTGCCGAGCAGTGAACAATTATCGGAGTTCTGAATGTAGTGTTAGATGGCATAAGGTATTCGGAAATCTGATCTGGTAACTATCCAGGAACTCACATACTGTCCTTAAGTTTACCAAGTAGTGCTACCGGTGCCAAGTCAGCCTCAGGAACACCTCGATCTGGCCAATCTAACCAGTGATAGTGGGCACAAGTATGTATAGGTTGTCCGGGAACGGTCACATCCAAATGGGTAATCTGAACCCGAACACGGGTTTCGAAAGGAAAGTTGAACTGAAATGAACTGGTACTGGTAGGGTGCAACAATGTACAGCAACCTCTCGCAAAGGCACTCGATTGTGACGCATTTGTCCCTGGTATCCGACAGCAGACCCGTCGTACGGCATGAAGGTAGAGCCAGCGCGTACTGTAGTGATTTCGCGTCAAGTCAATAGAATGCAACACTGTACGTCCTACATCGCACAGCACGCGCTGCAACTCGTCCGCTGACTCTGCCTTCTTGCCGCGCGACGAGCCTCCTGCTAGATGTCCGTCAGACTCGGCGATTAGCAAGCGATTGCGCAATCGCTCTGCAAAGTGCACAAGCGACGGGCGATTGGCCCCGCCCCCAATCGATGCAGTCGGCTGCGGTATCAATCGCGAGCGGAGCCATACTCGTCGCTTGCATTTTTGCAAAACGATGGCAATCGCGATTGGCAAGCGTCCGTTGCTCTCACAATCGCCGAGTCCGACGGACATCTTAGGTTCCCATTTGTTCCCGCAGCCTGCCCCGCGCGATAGCATTGCGCGGATAGGTGCAAGCCGCACATTGGGAACTTGAGCGGCACGCAACGGTGACAAATGCCAGTGTCCACACCTGTCTGACTTACTTACCATCTCCTGCTTTCTAAACGACACATATACGTCGCCCTCAAAAGCCATAGGAGGTCCTTCCTGTGTGGGAAAATATTCCGCGCACTTTTTTGCATTCTGAATTTTTTCGAATGAAATGAAGTAATAAGATCCTCCTCATAAGCAAAAGGTCACTTTCAAGCCCCAGGTTAGGCAATTTGTCTGCATATTCACACCACTATTTTGACCTACGTACCCAAAGCAGAGGGCACAGGAAAACACGCAAAACAGGCCCTCTCCAGTCCCGTCTTTTGCTTAGAATAGGGTACACAATTAGTTGGATAACAGGGTGTTCCGACTACGCGTGCTGAAGCCCCAACGCGCTGGGATGTGATAAAAGCACCACTGAATGTCCTTTCCTATCGTGCTCCACCGTCATCAAAACCACCCCGCCTTCCAGACATCGTGTTCGCTGCCTTTAAGAGTACCGCTTGTTGAAAGAGTAATCTAACCTGTTCAATAAAATTACACAACATGAGTATAGCCACACTTTTCTCTTGAACGACCATGTTCCAAAAATCAGGACAGGTCTTGGGTAGAGGAGCCTAAATCGAATAAGCACTGAGCTTATGCGGCGGGGAATCAGAAATTATTCATCAGTACAAGAGCTCGAGTACAAATGGCTGTACCTGAGTACAAATGAACCTTTTCGCACTGACTGGTGTGGAAACATAGTTTGCATGAATGTATTGTACATTTCCAATGGTAAGTATGACCCGAAAATTGTCGAGACAACCAACATCCTAAACAACATGAGGATACCTCGATTAAGCAATGTGGACCTTGCTGAGCAGGTCAGTGATCTGCCCCTTTAAGAGAAGAAAGGGAGGCGGGAAAATAGAACGTATAAAAGGGACGATGACATCGTGTGTGGTTCTGGAGCACTGCCCTCGCCGAGATTCCTTTAACCGCCTCAATCGATACAGGTGGACCCGGTTTTCATTTTTTTCTATTTTGCACTGTAAATTGTTCGTCGTTGCAATGCATTTTTTTGGTCGCACCTGTAAATTTCGTTTGTTAATAAGTAATTGATTGGAAGTCGGCGTGATTACGTGAAAAACCGTTTCGCGGTCTGCATCCCTCTATTGAACTAGCTATTCGGTAC